CATTTGCCATTTCCATTTGCTTTCCTCTCAGTTTTGAGCTAATTGTAAGTCGACTTTTACTACAATTCGTGAAGGTGAAACTTTCATATTGTTGATAGTTTTTCTAACCATTTAGGAACGCAGTCCTAAACAGCCTTAGAAATGACGACGCGAAATGAAATGAAATGGTCAAAAGAACATTAATTGTATCGAACGATAAATTACTCGCTCTTTACCAGTTCATTAGAAAACTGAATTATTCAAGCAATTTCAAGAATGTATCGCACGATGTTGAAGTTACTGTATCACTTACTTATTTGTGAGATATCATAGTTAAAATTATAACGAAATCATCGGATTCATTGCAAAAAAATTGAAAAGTTGCATAGACAATGCTTGTAAAAATGGAATGTATATAGGGATGAACGAACCGTTAGGTTTAGAAGTCATTAGGTATGCAGCACAAACGATTCGAGTCGAAGCAATGTAATACGAGAAAACAAGGTCATTTGGTAGGGGAGGATTAAAGCATCGAGTTGACGGGAAGTTGCACAGTTCGAGTAGAGTCCGTTTATGAGGAATACATAACGAGGAACGTGCTTGACCGATCAGATTTGTCACCTTCAATTCGAAAGTTTTACTTTTACGACATTGAAATGGAATTCGCTCTCATCAGAATGAGCATAAAAGCAGTCAGAATGGCATTTTGTTATTCAGAATTGAAATGCTCTATTTTACTGCAAACGAATATAACTAACCATCGTAACAATCGAAGTAAGAGCTTTCCCTGACTCCAACGTCCAATTGTTTTTATCAGCGTAAAGCTTCTTGACGAATTCCATTCCCTGATGTTATTATAAACGTTATACTTCACTACCGGAATGATTTATGGATACTCATTACTATCATAATCATACTCATGAACCACAAATACCATGTTATTTGACAAATGATGAATACCTTAACAGTGGTTGTGAGGGCTTGCACGCAATAATTAGCAGTATCCTGTAACTGTTGCAATTTCCACTGGACGTCAGGCTGTGATACCGATCTGAACACGCCACCTGGTGCTTTTGGATATTTCATGGTGACCTGCAAAGGGTATGTTCAAATCGCAAACGATATTATCGCACTCTGCAACATGAACAACACTCCATAATAGATAAACATCACAAAAATGATTTTTTTGGCTACTAACCTCAGTGATTATGATGGTGTCACCAAGGAGTGAGACAGCCACTTTGAGTGCATCACCCCCGTTTCGCTGAACCAATTGAAGTTTCTCAGTGCAAGGCTGTTGAGAATTAAGTTTTATTGATGGA